AGTATAACCGAAACAAAGAAGGGACCTGAAAACAACTGCTTTCTAATCATGGCTAGTGATCTTAGAACAGGCTATAATATCTTGGCTCAAAAATCCAGGCAATTATGACATGGCAGAAGAGATTCAGGATTTTCTGTATTTCCTTGCTGCCATTTCATGTTGATCTAGATTTTGAAACCCAGATCTGGTAGCCGTGCTTTAGAATGTTCTAAATTATGTATTTCTTCTTTTCATTGTTGCAAGTTTAAAAAAAAAGGCTAATTAATTTAGATCTCAATCTGGCTAGTACCCTACAGCACACAAATACAATTCTCTGGCTGCTGGAAGATTATGCCCTACTATACAGGAAAACATAAGGAAGGCAGCGGGATAGGAAAGTGAATCATGCTTAACATGTGTATATTCTTTGTAAAACAGAAAGGTCTTAGCTGTAAATATATTTCTAATTCTGTAAATAAGTCATATTATGAATAATTCATTAAGCTGCACATTAAGACTTTCTAACTTAGGCATATATTGATACTTTGTAGCATTTTATCATAAATAATCTTCACATTATACCTAAATTAAGACTTAAGACTTAAAGCATTTTTAATCTTTGTTTTTAAAGTGTATAGCATTTTGAATTATCTTTAATTTACATAATTCAGACAAATAGTTATAAGCTGCTATTTCCCGCCTATACTTCAGTTTGTTCTATACAGAGAATACTATAATGCAAAATGCCGTAGGTAATTTCAATGCTATGCTTCAGCCTCGTGCATTGAATTGGACCTAATGAAAAGACAAGGGCAAAGTAATAGGTGTTTCAGATACACAGAACATTTGGTGATACATAGAGAAACAGTTTTTAGAAATATTGCTAAACAAAAAAAGTAAAAAACAAAAGAAAAACAAGAGCCAATTTGGTCTAGTAGTTAAGGCACAAGGCTAGAAACTGAGACCACAAGTTCTAGTCCCACCAGGTGCATGAAAGGCAGCTGGGTGACCCTGGGCCACTCACTGTCTCTCCACCAACTCACAGCACAGAATTATTGTGAGGAAAATAGGACGAGAAGGAGTATTAGATATGTTTCCCACCTTGAGTTGCTTATAAAAATAATAAAGGTTGGAGATAAACAAACAAACAATATTTTATCTCTGTTAACACACCTGCTTTTAGATCTCAGATGCTGATGGTTCTGAGGAACTACCTCAATTAGAAGTTGAAAAATTTCTCAAGAGTTGGATTTCATACTTGAAACTAGAGTATCAAGAATATAAATTTCTGTTTTGGGAAAATAATTGGAAGAATAGGTGGACAAAACTCCTGAAATCAGATCTGAGCCCTTGCGTGGCTTCACTACTCCTGACTTACTTTACTATACTTTACTTTACTGGTACTTTACTATCTGAGCTAATGGAGTCTCATAGAATCTGGGCATGTGCAGTTCATGGATTTTACCCAAGAAACCACGGTGAGAGGAGAGCTCCATCCAGTGGGAGATTTGTAGACTGTATGCTAAGTAGTGGGTTGGTTTTTTTGGGTGTGTGTGTGTGTGTAAGTGGGATGAATGGAAAATGGGGCTGTGAGTTCCTATTATATCTTGTCTGTTGACATGACTCGTATACTTCCTAATGGGAATTATTAAAGACATTTGTAAGACCCCATTCACCATTTATTTACATTTTCATAAAAAATAGGGATTTGAGATGTTGTTGAAAACATCTTCGCTTGTAAACAGATTGATAAATTCTACTTTTTTGATACAAATAAGGGCAGTATAAATCCTAAACGGAGAAGAGAAGCTTACTAGTTTATACAAACAGGTCCAGTGAATAAAATGTACGTTGCTTATAAACTTCATGATCATTGCTGATTAAATCTATTACAGAGTTGTCACATCCATTCATACTTCGTCTAAGTTCACAAAAAAACCAATGTGCTAACATCCATTTTATGGTTGAATGAAATGACTTAGTTGACGCCACACACAAAAATAATAGCTTGATTTCATAATATCCTAAACCACAAAGCAGCCAGTGCTGGTTTAGCTTATTTTTGTATTTTGTGCAACCCCCCCCGCCCAATTATTAAGTTTCTTGGTCATCCTTTTCTCTGTTTCTACATAAAAATAATAATTTCTAAGACTTTCAAGGGAAAACCGGTTTTCTAAAACAAATTTGTTTTAAAATTATGGCAGAGAACCTTGATTTCTTGTGTCAAAAACACTTCCTGAGGTAAGAGACATTAAAACATATTTCAAGCATATTTAGGATTTGGTTGAGGTATATGGAAATGTCCCTGTTCAGGTAACCAGAGGTCTATGATTTGGATTTGAATACTCTGATCCAACAAACTTGAAATTGTAGTATCTTTGAGATTCTGGATAGCTTGCTCCACATAAATATCTTATACTACCTGAGTATTTTCTTTACATTGAGTTCCTATTATGTGGGATAACAGATTTAACCTTGCCTGCAAAGTCATGATGGTTTTTTCACCCAAATTGCCACCATCACTTTTTTCCGATTACTTCTGAAGATGGGCCCTTTTGCCCACCTGAAACTCCAGAATGATTTAGAACCCAATATTGTATTGTTTTAATCCAGGGGTGGGATCCAACCAGTGTTACTACCAGTTTGGTGACTACATTTTGCTGCACGTACATGTAAAACAACCTTAAGCTGTGCAGCCCGGACAGCTGAAAAATGCTGCGCACGGGTGTGCAGCATTTGAAAAGCCACTTTTTCCTGCTTTTTCAACCTCAGCTGTGCTGGGCAAAGCAGCTGAGGTTGAAAAAGCAGGAAATAAAGAATAGGTAAGAGCCCAGACTGGCGGGTGGGCCAAACATCCGCAAACACAGAACCGGTTCAGTATCTGCTGCTCTTCAGAGCTACTGGTTCTAGAGAGACAGGCAGAACCAGTAGCATCCCACCCCTGTTTTAATCACAAACTGTTCACTTCAGCTTTAGCTCGCCCTAAACTTAGAGGCTACAAAGAGTAAGTAGAAAGACCACACTAACATGTGTCAGCTGAGATTTTATCTTTCTGCCTTGATCAAAAGTGATTGAGGAGATCTAGTGAGACCAATAAAACAGGAGTTTAAGCCAGTAAGGGAGTTAGAAAATGTGAATTCTTGCCTCCAGTGGGATCATACCAGCTTCCAAGTGGATTACTGCTTTGGAAAACACAACATGAGACACGCAAAGGTACTTGCAGAAATCTACATTGAACAAGGTTTTAAATCATTGTAATTGCATACTTGTGTAGCGCACACCATTTGGGATTTGATTTATCTATTTAAAAAAACTTAAAGGTAGCACTCTTTGGAATGAAATTGCCTTGGCACTATTGTTGATTTTGGCAGAAGTGACTGTAATGTGTTCCTGCCAAGCTCTAGAGGCTTGAAAAATTACAAGCTATTTAAAACTCCTTCACTTTTATTATTTCCAGTTTGACATGGGTGTTTGATCTTGGTCTTCCCAAGAAAACCATAATTTTGGTCTTAGACTGATTGAGTGAAAACATTTTCCTCCTTATAGAATTCTGCTAGGGATCAGAGATTTTTCCTAAGGCCCAGCTGTGTGAGAGAAAGAATTCCTTTATCACCAGTACACAGCTGCCCTGCCAAATGCCTGTTACTGGGTTTGAAAAAGTGGAATTCTGCATACAGACAGGAGGTTATACAACTTGCCTCGTGGTGTAACTGGAATCATCTGGAACTGAACACACTCAAAACTGTAGAAATGGTGGTAGACTTTAGAAGAAACCCTCCAATACTATCACCTCTTACACTCGGGCACTCGGTGCTGAAAAGGTTAGCCATCACTGCTGTGTGTATTTTTCTATCAAACATCATAAGATGATACACTGATTATATCCAGGGGTGGGATTCTACCAGTTTGGACCAATTTATAGAACCAGTTGTTATGATTCTGTGTAGTTCAGAGAACCGGCAAATCACACCACTAGCTGGCCCCTCCCCTCCTGTCGGATTTCTTGCTTTCTAGCTAATCTAAATTGCTGTTGTACTGCTTTGCCTTCACCCAGGAGCCCCAGTCAGGGCTGGTATTCAAGGGGTTGGGGGGTGGGGGAGAAGTGACCTGAGAGCAGAGCTGAACCCTCCTTAGGATTGAAGCTTCTATTTTTCAGTGCAGACTCAGGCAGAAGATTGCAAATCAGATCTTATATCTGCTCTTTCCTGGTTACATGTACCAGAGGTGGTATTCAGCAGATTCTGACCAGTTCTGGAGAACCAGTAGCGGAAATTTTGAATAGTTCGGAGAACCAGCAAATTCCACCTCTGACTGGAGATTTTACAGTATCCTTCCCCAGCCACACACCCCAAGCCACGCCCACATAACCGGTAGTAAAAAAAAATTGAATCCCACCACTGACATGTACCCATACAATCAGGGCTACTGAAATAACTCTGAAGTGTTGTTTTAGTAGTATCAATAGAACAGTATCAACCACCGTACCTGAAACCACAGAATAGTTTAACTTAGTTAACTATTAACTATGCCTCCTACAATATCTGCTATCTGAAAGGGTTGTTCTCCTTAATGACTGAGCAAGATCTGCCCTCCCGAATTGACCATATACAGATATGAGAGCAGTAATAGTGGGATGATTATAAAGAATTATAGTGAAGGATTGTTTGAGGCTAATTCATTGCAAGAGAAACAGGAACCACAGGCAAGTAAATTGTTTTAAAAAGCTAATTTTTATATTTTTGATTTCCATTCACATCATGCTCTTTCACTGTATCATCCTTTAAAGCAACATTTTGGTATTGTGGGCTTAACTAAAAACCAGTATTCAGCAACAAATTCAACTCACTGCAGTCTAGTGAAAAGCTAAAAACTACTCTTATATCATAGATTCCATGAAGCTGCACCAATAGCAATAAGAGGGCTAAAACAACATTCACAGTAGTACAGACCACATTAATACATGCAATGAAAAGTGCATAGTACTATATATCACCAAATGTAAAAGAATCTGCGTTATTTACCTGCATTTTTTGTGTCAGGTTCGTTGTAAATAGAAGCCAGGATAAACAAGGTGAAAATCACAAAAGCCAGCAAAATGAAAGCTACTTCAAGTTTTGTGAATGGCAGCTCCATGTATTGTCACCTAAACAAAATGCAAACACTTACTTGGTGTACATGAAGTTGAGTAGAGCAGTTTACTTAACTTTTTGTTAGAGGATATTACGTCCTGGACAAACAGGTTGAGTCAGTTATGCAGGGGAAAAAAAATACAGTTGTTAAAAAAAAAAGGATTGATGTATTCCATTCCATGAAAATTTTTGTCTCAGTTACGTAAGACATTAAAGGATTAAAATTTGCTGTATGTTTGCATTTCTGATACAGGTAGATCTCAGTTATAATGCAGTGTAGTTCATTATAAAGTATAAAGTATTCTATTTTAGAGGGGATGAAAATGTTTTGGAAGTTTCACAATTTGAATGCCTTACAAATATGTTGGATTATGATTCTCTTCTTTCATAAACAGGATGTTTTTACACTAGATAATGGTGATTGGAGATATCCTATTTGTACATCATGTTGTTGGGGAAAGCTACTTTGGGAAAAGATGAGACAGTAAAAATAATGAAAATGTTGCATGCCTTCCAGTCTGTTCAAACTTTAGTTTCCATTATAAAGATTGTGGCTGAATACCTGATTGAATAAGCCTAACCTTAAGGGTGGCAGCTTGAAGCCAATCTTTCTTAATGTTAGCCACATTTCTTTATTTTTTCAAATAAGACAATGCCTGGTTTTCATCCCTAAATCTTCTAGAAGACTTAACATCCAACTAAATATCAAAATAATTCAACAGATTTTTTAACGAGAAGGATGAACTTAAAATGTTCCTTAAGGAAACATTATGTCCCACTATGGGAAACAATTGATATGAAAGGAATATCTATTATATTTAATTAATTTCATGTAAATATTGATGAAATCATGTCTGTGTTTATTGCAGTTCTAGAAGGGTTATGGGGAAGAATATTTGCCCACCCCTCACCCCCTAAGCCTGTAGTCTTTTTTAAATTGTATGTAAGTTAATACTCTTATTATTGGCAAAAGATGGCACTGTTTAACTGCTGTCTGACATATGTACCGTAAACGTGAACTATGCTATCCAATTAAAAACCAACCAACCATGAATGCTTCTGTAAAAGACAGTATTATTTACCTTTTAAAAGAGAAAAAATAAATAAATGTTGTATATTAATAAATGATATCTGAAGATTCTTGGGATTGGGTTATTTAAGAGAACATTTCTTCCCAGTTTTTTTTTTTTTTAACTTGTCCTATCCAATCTGACGGGAAGGACATACTCCAAGTAGTCTTGGCTGAAGAAGTGCCATCTGGTGAGGCCCAGAAGGAGAACATTTTCTGCTATTCTGTCCAAACCATACCCTCTTAGATCAATGAAGTTGCTGGCCTTTTGCAAGGGCCTGAAAACTTGGTTTTCTGCACAAGTTTGGTGCGCTGGCTCTGTCAGGAGCAGTGGTAGAATTCATTTTTCTTTTTAAACTACCGGTTCTGTGGGTATGGCTTGGTGGGCATGGTGTGACTTGGTGGATGAGGCTTGGTGGCATGGGAAGGATACTATAAAATCTCTACTCCTACCCCACTCCTGGGGGAAGGTTACTGCAAAATCCTATTCCTTCCTCACCCCACTAACCTGCTTTCCAGCTCCGTTCTCCTGTGCAGGGCAACAAAAGAAGACCCAGCTGATCAGCTGGGACTCGGGAGGCAGAGAATAGGTGAGAACAGGGCCAGTCAGAGGTGGTGTTTGTCAGTTCTCCAAACTACTCAAAATTTCCACTACCAGTTCTCCACAACTGGTCAGAACCTGCTGAATACCACCTCTGGTTAGGAGATCTGCTACTGTTCATTGTACTCGGCTGCTGTGTGTTTCTATTATGTCTTTAATTCATCTTTATTGTAAACTGCCTAGTGTCACATATGTGAGATTGGCAGCTGTATAAATCAATCAATTTTTAAAATATATTTATTAGATTTATGAGCTGCCCATCTCATCTACAGGCGATTAAAATGAGGGAGAAAAAAAAAAGAAAGGAAGAATATTTTTTACTTTCATGTTGTTTTGTGAAAATGGTTTGTGACCTGGCTTTATGATAAAACTTCTAAAGACCATAAAATTCTGTGGGTTATATCATTTAAAAGTATAACTTTTAGCGACAGAATTTTTATTTAAAGTAAAAAGTTTTAATTTAAGTCATATACAAATCAATCTGGTCATACTGAAAGGTGATAATATTTCTTTCGGAATAATATCCTTAGCTCGCTATTATTTTATAACACTACATCTAAAACAGCCCACCTTCCAAGATATTCTAGAACTCCGTGGAACTATTTAAATTTACAATATCTTTTTTTACAAATATCTGAAAACCTTTCTTTGATAAATGAGATTAAAAGGCATTTGAGACCATTTTTCTTTTCTTTGCAAAATTAAATCAGAGAAAGGTACTCCGTCTTTCACTTGCATTTTAAAACTATGACATTAAAGACAAAAGAAAGTTTCATCCCATTTTATCAGTATGAATGCTCATAGCAGGACAGTTGCCATAGAAAATTAGTATAAAATCTATGGGATCATTTGAACTTATATTATTCTTTCCAGGAAAAAAAATGATTCCCACCCCCCCTGTAATGATTCCTTCTTCCATTAGCAACAGTGGTGGGATTCAATTTTTTTTACTACCAGGAGTGGCCTGGTGGGCACGGCAGGGGAAGGATACTGTAAAACCGGGATTTGCTGATTCTCCGAACTATTCAGAATTTCTGCTACTGGATCTCCAGAACTGGTCAGAACCTGCTGAATACCACCTCTGATTAGCAACCAGAAAAAGCTCTCAAATCAGTTTTTTTTTAATTATTACTAGTGGATGCACACATTGTATTTATTGTTCCCAGGTTTATATCAATGCAGAATAGATGCAATCAATGGAAAAATAAACATTGCAATGAAACTTAATCCTCCTTAATGAGTTCGTTTGGATATCTCCCAAGAAACACTGGCATGGGTGGAAGAGAAGTGAATATGTTATTGCAACATATATTTTTTTTGCAGAAGGAATAATGCATTTTCAATCAGGTTTTTTTTTTTGTCTGATGTTTTTGGGTACCATTTCCAAAAATCAGAAAAAGATTTAAATAAATCAGAACAAAGGAAGAGAAATAAGTAGATGATGTTAGCACGCATGATTTTTTTATGTTAGTCAAAATCCAGCAGAGTTCAATTGTGTTAAGCCCATTGAAATTAATAATTTTGGAGAACTATAAATCAAAACAAAGCATTAAGATTTGGTTTGAGTAATTAGCATGTAAAATAACTTTTATTCAAGAGAAAAATAATTTATCTAATTAATAAGCTGCAGCCAATCATATACATTGCTTAAAACACTGCTGTTTTAAGGTGTTTATTTGCATACTGTACATCCCCACGTACATACAGTATACATATGCAAGTCATAGTGAAAGGAGATGATTATTAGGCGTTAAATTAAAATGCCTGGGGACCCTGCTGTGATATTCTTATGTCATTTGAGGCTAAGATGTTCTACTGAGAAGGAAGAACATACAATGATACTCCTTAACAGAACTAAGTTTCTTTTTAGCCTGGTTCAGTGGCTAAGATGCTGAGCTTGTCAATCAGAAAGGTTGGCAGTTCAGCAGTTTGAATCCCTAGTACTGCGTAACGGGGTGAGCTCCCGTTACTTATCCCAGCTTCTGCCAACCTAGCAGTTCGAAAGCATGTAAAAGTGCAAGTAGAAAAATAGGGACCACCTTTGGTGGGAAGTTAACAGTGTTCTGTGCGCCTTTGGCGTTTAGTCATGCTGGTCACATGACCAAGGAGACGTCTTCGGACAGTGCTGGCTTGCTGGCTCTTCAGCTTTGTAACAGAGACGAGCAGCGTCCCCTAGAGTTGGGAACAACTAGCACACATGTGCTAGGGGAACCTTTAACTTTATTTCCTATTTTGACTTTCTTACAGGCAATTCTCTGTCAAATTTTTACTACAAGAATTTTTTTTAGATATTTTGTGAACATTATATTTAACTTGAGAATCATCTAAGAATCTTCAACTTTCAATTTGAGTAGCAAATATTGATTTTTCTTAGAATATTTAGAATGATTAAAATAATGATAGAGATGGAACTAGGCAGAGTTTCGATTCTTATTTGCCATTTAATTATCAGGGGTGGGATCCGACTGGCATAACAATGGTTCGGGGAGCGCGTGCATGCGTGTCAAATATGCTCTGCATGCGCGTGCGTGTTACCAGCTCCGGCAACCATTTACTTTCTCCAGCTGACGAGCAGCACTCAGCTGTGTGGCGCACAGCGGCTGAGGAGGAAAACGCGGTCACTAAAGGACAGCCTAGAACTCGGGCAGACAGGAGGGCGAAATAGCAGACCAAAAACTCATCCCAGTGAACCGGTTCAGTGTCAGCTGCTCTTTGGAGCTCCCGGTTCTATAGAACTGGATTGAACCGGTAGGATCCCTGCCCTGTTTATTATACTTTGATTTTTAAACCTAACTGACGCAGTTGATTTCATGTTCACACTGCAACTGGTTTATTTATTATGTTTTAACCATTTCCTGTATGAGATATATTTAACCTCATGTTTTCATTGTTTTATGACTCATTATCATCTGCCTATAGTTTTGACTCATTATTATTCTGCTGATTATTTTGCCCTTTTGCTGACACCTTTCATGTTTTGATTCTATCTTCCTCCATATGTTCACAGGAGAAAATTAATATAATAGGAATAAAGAACACTTGATGGGAGAAATGGGGCAGCACAGCATTATATTCTAAACTGACTATTTTTAGAATAAAAGAATTCTAAATATCTGCATCCAACACTCTTTGTTCAAGTACAAAAAATATATCCCTATATTGTGAATTTGTGAGTCCTACAAATAGGAAACGTTTTCTCCTTTCCAATCATGTCTGACTCTAGGGGGCAGTGTCCATCTCAATTTCTTAGATGAGGGAACCAGCATTGTCCAAACACATTTCATGGTCAGCCAGCATGACTATATGCAGAGACACACAGAACAGTTATCTTCTCACTGAAGTGGTACCTATT